ACTCATGTCGTCCATGATAAGGCTAATAAATAAAAGAATTCAAAATAAGGAAAGTCTTGAATATTGTACAGAATGGGTAAAAGTATTTTTTCAGCGTGGTAACACTGTGGTTTCATATAGTCAACAACAAAGGACGATGGCGCATAAGAATCCAAATCGACCCATTAGGACTTTTCATGGTTAAATATATCGAGTCATATATCAATTGCTAGAGCACGTCAAGATTAATATTTTTGCACTAAATTCAATCGATTTTGATCGAATTTAAAAGTCCTAAAATCATTTACAAAAGGACTCTTTTTTGCCATTTTTAGTTATTATTTTCATTAGGTGATTTGCGCACTGTATACCAAGTTTAGGATCAGTAGACAAGATAAGATGACATTATTATTATTATAAATACGATAACTTCTTGATTAGGGATGCATCAGCGCCAGTGCAGCACTGAAGAACTGGTACCAGTGGCACTGGATATCTACCTAACTCCTATATCACGGGTGGGTGTGGGGTGTGGAGTGTGGGTGAGGGTGTGGGGTGTGGGTGTGGGGTGTGGGTGGGTGAGGGTGTGTGGGTGTGCGTGGGTGTGGATGTGAGGAAGAGAATTACCTCCTACTCCCACTCCCACCCCCCCACACCCCACACCCCACACCCACATCCACATCCACGCCCACACCAACATGCATTGTTGACCGTCATACGCTACTAATTGCCACCGAATTCCTATCTTTAAGAATCCATACACCAATTTTTCATCATTATTTCTATTTCACATAGATTTTAATGCCAATAACAGTTGAACAAGTCCTTTTCCAAGTGCATCATGTTTTGCTTCGATGACAAATACATAACGAGTAGTATCAAGGATTACCGGAAGTTCGCCAATAAGACTTTCACCATTGGCGAAAGTTCACTGTACTTTTGCCAATGTACCTTCCTGACATTCGCCATTTGGCGAGTGTCCATTGATCTTTCGCCAATTTACTGTCCTCACTTTAGCCAATTGGCGAATTTCCACTGGGCTTGTGCCGGTAAATCCTTCAGATATTAGGCGATTGAAAAATGATATTGGTACTGATCGAAGGGATAAGTAACAAATACACGCTAAGAAAATTGTGGGTGTGGGACTCTTATTTCAATAGAGATCCACACTCACATCCCACACACACCCACATCCCACACACACCCACATCCCACACACACCCACATCCCCACACACACCCACATTCCCACACACA